TTGGCTTTTGATGAACCGCTTATTTCGAGCTATTGTGTATTGATTAGAGGCGACTTCCAAAAAAGGCTGAGACATTTCTGTCTATCAGTCATGTGGAGTTTAGTAACTATCAAATGGTTGACAATGTTCAGGGCTTGGACTCGTTGGACAGTACGTGCACCTCCCTAGCCGGCTCTCTGTCCAGAAGCGGCAGTATCCGAAAGACCGTTCAGAGAAAACTCCCAGACAACGTCCAGTTGGATCTCGACGAGATACGGGCTGATCTTACCGCTGCCGGGTATGTCTCAATTCGTCTTCAACGCTGTAGAGTCCTAAGTTATGTACATATGTTGTGTTAGGGGGGGGGGGAGAGCTAGCAGCTCGTCCCTTTCACCTCCTAGTAGGATTCATGAAAAGAACGATCGATCCCTTTTATTCAACTTTCCGTCAAATTCTTCCAGATGGGAACGTCGACTAGGTGGCCTGAAACGTTTCGAGGAGATGTGTTCCAGCGCTACCAAGGCCGTTGCCTCTGACACCAAGGTACTAGTCCCTTGGCCCAACAGAAGTGGCAGAAAATAACCAGCAACTTGTTGCAGCTGACTGAAGCATTTCATTGGTCGTCTCAACGACATCAACAGCAAGGTGTCCCTTGAGGGACTCGACACCTACATGGTCACTCTACCTGTGCTCAGCAAGTAGGTTTGACTCCTCCTTTGCTGAGATGATCGCGGCAAAAATTCTTTTCCAGGCTCTACTCCACGGAAGCGCACCTGAAAGCAGTGCTGAATCAGCTCGTGTTGGCCTTAATGTCACATCTGTCGAGTAAGAGTGATGAGCATCGTAAAACCGCTCAGAAGTGTCTCACCGAAACGATCAAACGAGTCGGTCAGTCTTTCTCATTGTCTCTTGCTTGCTCAGACCTTATTCGTGCACTTTTACGGAATTCCTGAAATGTTTTTTCTTTTTTTTGTCGAGAGATGTTCTAGAATAAGTCCGCGTTGACCACATGGGCGGGCTCACTCAAACAAGTGCGCACTTTCCATTGTTATGCTCCTCCTTGCAATAAGATGGAGAGGGGAAATAAATTGATGGGGGAGCTTGAGTTCCCCTAAGAAACTACTCGGGTACAACAGCTTTACTTTTGTAAGTTCCTGGCCGTTTATGAAACTGAACACCACCGGATTTACAACGATTTGGCGGCGTGGCTGGTCGGCAGGCTTGCGGAGAGGCTTTTTGCACTTTCAACAGAACTCCTTTTTTAGTCCGCTTTTCTTGAATGACATCCTGTAGCCTTCGGTGAATTACGACAATGATCGAGTAAACCACGTCCAATCAACAAAAATCAACAGCTCTTAGGAAGTGGCTCCGCTTAAAAATTAGCCTGAGTACCATTCCGTGCCCCCCCCCAAGGCGAACTTCCCTCGTGAAGTGACCACCCAGTTTCACTTCCCTAGCGTTCAGGGAGTCAGGCATTTTACCAAAATATCCAGCCGTAGAACCAGGTCAATGATTAATTCCCTTGCGTTGAGTACTACTATGAAAGAATTCGTGCAACGTACAACGTATACCCCTTCCTACCTCATTCCCTAGATATGTCCGGAGCGCAGATATAAGGTAGGAGCATTCTGGCACTTACTCCTTCTCTATACGTCTTCGAGTTAACTCTGAACAGAAAAAAAAGAGAAAAAAGACATGAATCGAAGAATAGCTAAAACAGAGATGGTTTCTCTCGTCCCTCAGCCTTACACCAACCGTTGTCATTTTGTAAACCCTGGGACTGTGGAAAACCAGTGAGGAAATAAGTAATGACGAGGGAAAGCAAGGTGTACCTTGTAATGCTAATATTAGGTATTTATACTAAATATGAAAATAAATAAATTTCCTCCCGGAGTTTTTTTTTTCAAATGCCCTCAGATTTCTTCAAAAAAATTGCCGTCAAGCGGGGATGGGGTGTCGAGACATATAGCGCACATGAAACAAGAAAAACTAAGAAAGGTCAACAACCTAAAAACATTCGTCTGAAAACGAGATGCGACCCTTTTCCCCCACTCCAGCGTCCAAAAAGAGCCCCCAATCACCCTGTGGGGGCCTCGTAAACCCCCAAATCGCCCTGATAGGCGATTTCATCTAATGCCACGTCAAATCGCCCAAAGTTCCTCACGCCTTCCATCGTCATCACTCTTCTGTGGGATCCGTCATGCTTCACCCTATGGGATAACAAATGCCCTGGGAGAGAGTCTTATGACGATCAATTGCTTTAACCCAGGCATTACCTGCCGAACAGACCGCCCACTGCCAAAGGAAAAAAATACGATGGACATTCTCATAGAGAAATTCTTTTCAGATCCAGCCAGTCTCTCTCCGGCTATCGCGGCGGCGACTCGAAAAGCGAACATCAAGCAGAAACCCTTCATGCTGAACCTGTTCAGCCGTATGTTTTGCCCTTCGCTAATGTTTTTTGGGACTAATGAAGATGTTTCAGGCTTGAACGCCATGCTTTATCCCACAAAACCGAAGCAAGTGGAGGTGGTTGCGCTGCCCATCCTTTGGGAGTGCTTGAAGGCCGGCGTGACAGACAGCGAGACGAAAAAGGCCGTGACGGAATTCGCCAAAGGACTCGTTGATCTGGTACCCTTCAGAACTTTTCTTTTGAAGTTGTAAATCGGCAGGGGGGGGGGTGCAATAAGTTATTATACGAGCCAAGAAGAGCACAAGGGAATAGATAATCCTCAAAAGTTAACATTAAAACCGCCTTTCAAATCCCATAACCAGAAGTACTCGAACCAATAAAAGTTCGCTAGCCTCTCGCTTGTTTTCTCAAGTGGCAAGGAATATTTGGTCTCTTACTACCTTGCAGGAGCATTGGCAAGGATTGCCTGGAGGGGCATTCAGAGGACTGCCTTGTAAGGGCATTTGAAGGACTGTGCAATACTGACTTCAAGATTACTGTCATCCAAGCTGAATTACCGTAGTCGGTGGGTGCCCTCACGCGGAGCTTATCCTCCCCTTAAGCCTTGACCAGTCCTCCTCTCAATTACGGTTCCACCTTCGCAAGGGGAGCCCTTCAAATGCCCCTCCAAAGCTATCAACTCCAAGTTTTTGTTGACATGCTCCTTTTTCAGATGGGTGAACGAGCCTTCCTTGATCAAGCTTCCATGGAATTGGACCCTGCACGCCGAAAACAGCTCGAGTCTTTGATACGGTAACTGCCGACAAGAGGAAGGGCAAAATGTTACGGGTAAATTATCACAGGACAAACGTAGAAGAACTATTTCCTTCGATGCGACAAGGCACCAATTAATAACTTCGATGTATCAGTTAAACACTTCTCTTTTACCACTGCACCTTCACGTGAACAAGTACCAAAATCAGGGTGCAGTTCGGCTTGGTGGGGGCACTGAATGGTACGCGCTCAGCATTTACAGGCCACTTGGGAACGCGTGTAAATTTCTGTAAGCAAAAGGCGAATTTACAAGTCTTCCCAGAATAAGACGTGGTATTTGACATGAATAAAAAAAAGAACTAGAGTAAGTGCAAAATGCCCCCTCCGAGCCAAGCAGCGGTCCAAAACATTTCAGAGTTTGTAATTTCCCAATCTTCTGAACTCCTAAAAATGTTCAAAATTTTTCCCAGCAAATACGGGCCCAAAAACCTTTGTTGAACAACATTTGAGTATGTGATATTGTAAAATATTTATTCTGTGTACAATCAATAAATACAATGTTTATAACCGTTGTGTGGGAGATTTGATGCTGTTGTGAACAACGTAGAGATGACCCGTCATTTTTGTGAACGAACACGCGTGAAATGAGCAAATCGCGATCACAGTCAGATACTCGAACAGAGCGAATAACTCGTACGCTGAAAAGATGACGAGTTACATGTTTTCCACAAAATGAGAATTGTAAGGAAAGGAAATAGAGCTGGAGCCCTCTGTGCTCAATTTCCAGCCTTGTGCCATGAGTCGGTGACCCAGTCAGATCAAAGCGAGGTTTGAATGCACACTTGGGATATGCACCAATGGGCTTGGAGGGTGCTCAAAGTGTGAAGTGTGTTCATACAGCCTGGCAGATATCAACCGCTCTCAAGGGGCCAAAGACTTGGCCAAAACAGGAACCTATTGGGAGACACGGCCCGATGAATTTGGAACTACAGGAGGGTCCTGCCAAAAAAAGCAAAGTTCACGGCTGCAGATGAGTTGTTATGATGTGACAATTGCTGTTAATGCCGCAGTTAGCGTTCTAAAAGCTGAAACGGTACTGGGGGCGCTGGTGGCGTTAGGGATAGCACACCAGCGGAAGATATGGGTTCGGGTCCCGCGTGGGGTTTAGCTTTGCTCATGGCTTGGCATCCATGTCGTTGCTGTAGATAAGGCCCTCACTTTGCAGCTTATTTTTTAGCATTGTGTGAGCTTAGGAATGCCAGTGCTTGGCTAAATGACGAGGTGAACGGAGCGAACAACAGAAGGGACCAAAGAGGTCAGCTAGCGCCAATTCATTCCTACAGCGAATCTTTTGATTGAATTTAGTGTTTCTGTCCCTCCCTAGCAATTCCAACTACAAAAACTGCTTGCTAGCCAGTTTGTTTAGCAGGGGTTTGTTTCATGTGCTAAATGGTGCGTTCTTTAGTGCGTTCCACTAAGGATAAAAAACTGGTTGGCATTGATCAGTCACTCTGTGCTGCGCTAAGCATTTCACTTTCAGAGCACATTAATTACTGCTGTCAAGAGCTCTACTCAAGGCTCCATTGGCGGAAATATATATTTGTTGAGTGAGCAATCGAACAGACCCATATTTTGCGGTTCAAAGGCCGGATCTCGTCTTGTGAGGATCACAGCCTCTCCAGGAAACTGGATGACTAGAATCCAACCAACCCACTACTTATGCTTCCTTACATTTCAGAAAATGAATTTCATGAAAGGTAGCTGCCGCATCTGGAAAGGAAATGAAAACCAGGTTGGCCCATTACATGATGTGATTTGGCCATGACAGCTGAACCAGAGAGACTTCCGAATGGATTCTTCAGAGAGTCAAATATTCACCAGGACACCTGCTCGTAGTCAAAATTTTTCGCAAAAGCTCTGAACAAATGCTATGGAGCGTATCATGTTTCTCGAGCTCAGGATCAACCCACTGGTCAACTCTGGCAGATTGCAAGGAGGAAGACGCTATGGTACTCGCGTGAGCAACTCGATGAGCTATGGGAGATTGTATTTTCCCAATGAAATAGTTAGGTAACACATCATAGGAACTCACTGAATGGAACACAAAATCCGTTGTAGAGAATAAAGAAGACAATGATGAGCAGAATTGTGAGCGTCACAATCATAAGAAGCGTCAACTGCAGTTTTGCTCTCAGAGCTTCCTAAACAGCATTTCGCTAGAAATAAGTTGGGGCAATGAATGTATACATTAACTGCGGTCTCTGTGCAACCCCCGGCTCCATCAAATCGCTTTTTCCTACCCACCCCCCCCCCCGGAAAGCGAAATGTCCACCAATTAACAAAAAGAATCAATATGAAAAAAAACAAAACACCGACGAGAACTTGTAACAAAAAATGAAACTTTTAAAAAAACTCCTCTGCGTACAGTCGTTATGTGGGCAGGTTGAATTTAGGCGGTTCGACTGCGGCGGATCAGCTTTGTTCCGCCTGGGTTTAAGGCCCATTTTTCTCCCTAAATCTACTGTGTTCTTTTTTTTTTTTCAAAGGTAAGTTAATGTATGTTGTCTTTTAGGAAGGATCAGGGAGTGGCTCTTTTTTGTTTTTGTGATGAAGTGTTTCTACGTATTTATTAGGATTTGGGTTTAATTGTTTTTGATTGTTCGCAAAAAATCAGAGGATTCTCGATCGTAAGTTTACCTTTTTGGAGACAAGGGAACAACGAGCCTCTGAGAAAAAGGCAGACCCAAAAACAGCGAAAAACCAGGGAGAAAATGAACTAAACAGGCCGGAAACAGCTATGATTCGCCCCCCGCCAACAGTTCCTGCGTACGCGGTCCGCTTGCTACAACGCATCTGCAACCCATCGTACCGCCTAGTCACACCCCGGATGCACGTTGTGGTGCGATTTTAGGATAACGGTAGCGTCAATCTTTTATTGCAGCCACACAGCTTTTGCAATCAAAAAATAAGCACCACTGGTGGGATTTTAAAACTGTTTTTAACTTTGCGAAAATGGGTTGCAGTTGACTGTATGTGCCCCTAATGAATAAAATGTAATAAAGGAGAGCAGAATTACTCATGGGCACGAGCGCGGTCAGAAAAATGGACATGCAATTCCGATTAATGCCCGCCGTCCTAACAAGTGCGTCCGCCGTGGAGAGAACATCTAGCAAGTGGGCGGTCCAAGCTGGGCGGGCGTTAGAACTAGAACTTTCAGCGGCTGTAGCTCGCTCCTCGCTCGCTGTGGAGTCGCGAGAGTGGGATAGTCTCTAGCTTGGGGCTGGACTACTTGCACAAGGAAGGACGACCACGAATCACTTAAAAACATTCAACCGCGCCTAATTTGGGCCATATTCTGCAGGTTCGGCTATGTTATTCTTTTCTGCTGGGTCAACTAGCACCTTGGAGTTCAACTTTGAGCCTGTTAATCACGAATCCTGGCAGCGGAATGTGTCATCAAAGGCAGCGCCCACGTTTGCACGGTATGTGGCCGAAAATCCTTCAGATCATGTGGGAAGTGGGATAATATTAAGAGAAAAAGAAAGTCAAACCGTCGATATCGCCCTAAATAGATACCCTATCGGCTCTGAGCATTATACGAACATAAATAGAGGAACAGATCATGGTACTGCTGGAGAATTAACAAGTGGCTCCGCTACATAATGCTCAGAAAACGAAACGTGAAGGTGGCTTCAGTTTACGACGGTGGAGTTAGTTCACCGTCGCTGCGCCGTGGCGATCATATCAAGCACTTTCAAGTCGCGAGAGTGGGAAATCTTCTGTGATTGTGGACCATGCCACCTTGTGCAAGGAAGGAATTCTACACATCAGATACTGAGGAACTGGTAAAAGCAAAAACTTGAGATAAAAAATTGGGCAGCAGTCCGAAATGGTTTCGTTTGTACCTTCCAACATGAATCTCGGATATTCCGGGTAGCACTGAAAACCGAATCCTCTGAAAGAAAAAACTAACCGATTCTGAGCCGTCAAAGGTCCATCTCGTCAAAAGGGAAAGGCAAATGAAATACACGTATGACGTGATAGCGAAGCCAGAGAAGAGCATCACATGAATATCTAGAACTTCAGAGGAAGATTAATATCACACACGTGTTCATTACTTCAACATTCAATGGTTCTCCCCTCCCATGTATGTTCATTCGAAGAAGAAGAGCACAATAACCACAAGACCAACATCAACGCAAAGGCAAAGCACATGCTCTTAGAAAAATTCCTCAAAAATCCCTCTCTGGAACTCCCTTTCTACGATTCCCTGGCACTCTTGCTTCCCCAGTCATTCGGAATCAAGCCAGTTTTTGACCGACTTTTCTCCTCGTGGAGGAACTTGGCTCAAATGTTGTCTCTGGGGCAGTTTGACCTTCTGAACACGAATATCACATCCGCTTGGCCCGAAACCTCCTGGCGCCCGCGCCACAGGCGCCGGTGATTTGGGGTATTTTGGCGTTGACGCCTGTGGCGCGGGCGCCAGGAGACATGAAAATCAGATCCGGCGAGCGGATCTGATTTTCATGTCCAGGAGGTCAAGCTAACCCAGCAAACGAATATTTAGCCAGTTCTGCCCACGGAGAAAAAAGTCGGTCAAGAACTGGCCTGATTTCAGATGACTGGGCAGTAAAGGGTAAATAGTGCCGATATACTTGCTAGAAAATTTGAAACAAATCTCAAATGGTGTGTTGTAGGCTAGTTCACCTCCACTTTCACGTTCTCCAATCACGGAGAGTAGACTGAGAAAAAGCGTATCGGACACTCCACAGAGCACCACCATCAGCGTCCTTGCTGAGAAAAATAACAATCCTCGTTCTGGAAGAATACAACAGAGCAAAGTGCGCGAAAACTTTCGTGATGCCGTTTACGTTGGAGGTATCCAGTAACACGTACGGAATAAATACATATACCAGAAAAACAAGAAGCCTAACAGACATCGAAATGAAGAAAGCATGGAGAATTACAGTGTGACTTAGATCACAATCACAGAAAGAAATCGGAGCGGACCAGCACGATAGTAGAGCGTCGGAAAAAGTACAA